GTCTGTGATTGATGTCAAAATCTTTATTTTTTTTGTCCTAGCTCTCTTTTGACATTCATATGACATTCTCCAAAAATATTATTTTATTTGTCCTAGCTCTCTTTTGACGTTCATATGACATTCTCCAAAAATATTATTCGCGAAATTGTAGCGCGAAGCTTTTACGAGTTGTTTTCGTTTTTGCGAGTTGTTATCGTGTTTGCATTGTTGTTGTTTGGCGACGCAACAAATAAAAAAAGCGATCAATAAACGAAGCAAAAGTTATAAATAATGGGCAATGGTCTTGTTTGAACAATAAGTTGTTTGCTAAATCCACCGCGCATTGAACTTGTAATCGCCATTATATCAAATCATGTTCAGCTACGTCTCTGTTGAAACCTTCAACAACATTCTTAATGAATACATAGATTCATTGCCATCCAATCGTCAAGCGAAGGCCTTAATCACACAAGAGCTTGCTGAGAAAATTAAGAAAATTTTATTAAATCAAGAACTGACAAGCGACAGCAAATTACGTCATTGGGCATGCCAACATTTCTCTACCTTGGAGATAAATAATACAACACAAATAGTAGACAAAAAGTCTTTAAAAATGATTTGCCTAAAGAATGATTTGTATAATGTTGTTGGGTCATTGCATCAAGAATTGCAACACGCAGGCTACCGTAAAACATACAAGGCCGTAAGTTAAATAGTTAAACTAGCATCGATGCAGCATAATATTCAATGTCAATTACAGTTAACGTAAATTTTCTCTCAAAGATCGTTGCTCAATATAGTTGGGTACCTCGTGTTTTAGTGCAAAAATTCGTTAATGCATGTAATGTGTGCACAACTCGTCGTCGCTTGTTAACACCATCTACTATACGGCCAATAATTGCATTGGAATTCATGACTCGTCTACAGGTAATAATTTATAAACACAGTTTTAAGATCATTTCTCATCAAAAAATTAAATCAGGCCTATTTTATGATAGATTGATCTGATAGATATGTGTACAAGACCGGATGGCGAATACAAATGGATTGCACATGCGAAAGACCATTTCACCAGATTCTCATGGGCTTGCCCACTTACCACGAAAGAGGCAAAACATGTCGCAGGTTTCCTCTTTAATATCTTTGTTCAGTTTGGTGCACCGACTATCCTGCAATCCGATAATGGAAAAGAGTTTGTGGCCTTAATTATAAAAGAAATCGTCGCACTTTGGCCATCAACTCGAATCATAAATGGTAGGCCACGCCATCCGCAATCACAAGGATTGGTTGAAAAGGGGAATGATGTATTAGAGGTAAAATTGTCAGCTTGGTTGGAGGAGAACAGAAGAAGTGATTGGAGTGTAGGATTGCCTTTTGTCATCTGTAAGTGAAGTCAACTGTAATTAAGTCAGCCATCATACTATGTAATGTGTAACAATTTCTTGTATTGTAGGGGCAATTAATACACAAGTTTGCACTGCCACGGATCAGACGCCTTACCAGTTGGTGTTTGGACAAGCTCCACGGAGTAACCTAGCTCTTATGAAAGTGTTGTCAAGTTTGGGTATTCTTGATGAAGAAGAGTTGCCTGAAGAGACGATAATGCAATCTGTAGAAGGGAGTAATGAAGGAGAAGCAAATATAGTAGATGTGAGCAGTATGTCTGCAGAAGTTGATGATCAGATAAATCAGACTATCAATGAAAGTGATGTAGAAGTAAGTATTAGATCAGTGAATAAAAATCAATCAAATTGTTTATGCACTTATCTATTATCATTAATCAATATTAGGATGACGGAATAAATATAATACAAAATGTTGAAGATGAGATGAATGGTGAAATCGATGATAGTGGAGACAATTGTAAGTTGGTCTAATATTACAAGAATAAATAGTTACCCTTTACCTTTAGCTCATGGCTTGAATTTACAATATTGTTGATAGCTGGAGAACTAGAACATCGAGTTGATGAGGCAAGGCGAGATCATACTATTCTTCGTGAACTGGCTATCCAACAGGTTCAACGAAATGCGAATCTTATGGAAAACCTTGCACATAAAAGGAATAAAAAACGACAGTTAGTATTTGGCATCGGAGAGAGTGTACGAATCCTAATCCCTAGAATAGACCGAACAGGCATAGACCAAAGATCACTCCCATGTAAAGTCCTGGAGGTTCTGGAAGGGGGCTTCTACCGCCTTGGGTGTGCTCATGGAGTGTTAAACAGCTGCTATCAACCATGCAATATGGAGAGTATCAGTGGTAACTTCACTGAACTTGACAATATACCAAATAACAGAATATCACTGACAGAAGCAGCAAGACTTCAAAGTTCAGCAGTAATACAGGGTTCAGTTTGTCATTGTAAATCTAACTGCAATACTAATAGGTGTTTATGTAAGAGGTCAGGTATTGGATGTGGTTCGAGATGTCATCCTTCACAATCAAAATGTGTTAATAGAGAGCAAACGACGTAATATAATAATAATAAATAATTATTACAAATAAGATCGATGTCGCATATTTATCATATCACATTGTACAACATCTAGTAGCATATTTTATCACATTGTACAACATCTCAACATGGGCCAGCCCAAGTC